AATAATAACCATATCTGCCTCCCCTCAACTCCTTCAAGTTCAGCAGGAAGCTGCAGAGGTCTGGCATGCCAATGCCTGATTCCGCAGTTCACTTTACACCCCCTTTCAGGTATGTGCTCTTGACCCCTTTAAGCCCTTAGGTAAAAAACCTCCAAGTTAAATTTTACTTGTTTTGCGTGTTTTTTTGCTTGATTTTACTCTTAAGTGTTCCTAAAGCACATTCCCATTGTTTTAGGGTGCTTCCTTTTTGGTTTTGAGGGTGATTTTTGCATTTTTGTTCGCGAATTTTTGTTTGAGAGATACGACAAAACGATCAATTTTTGCACAAAACCGTGACGTAAATGAAAAAAGTAAACGGTTCATTTGGTTTCAGGTCAAGTGAGGAAGGTTTCCTGCAATTTTCAGCAAATTTTACCGTTCGGTTTCCGAGATTCCAACAAAAAGGTATTTTCCCCTAGACTCCTTAACAAAATCGGATCAGGTCTGATCCAAGTGCATCTTTCCAAATTTCAGTTTTCAATCACAAAAAATGGCAAGTTTCGCGGTGTTGTTCCTGTTAGTTTTGTTGGTGGTGCACCCAGATGCGTCATCCTGCAGGTGCATAGTCCAAGATGGCCGCCTGCATTGTACTGAGGTGTGTGATTCGGATGCTGTTTGGGCGCCCGAATTGGAGGGCAGGATAGTTTTGACTGGTCCTGTCTTGGACTTTGGCTGTCTGAGTTTCTTCAGCATTAAGGTGTGTTGTCATGGAAAGGTTTTTCGGATCTTTCTTTCATATTTCATATTGAAAATGTGTTCAGGTTGTTGAGTTGCTGAAGCGAACTCGATGCGAAGGGGCTTTCATAGCTTCTGCTGTCGACCCGGCTGAATTGTGTGTCGGTTATGTTTTGAGAATGGATCCGACGGAGGTCACCCCCATGGTTCCGACATCGACGATTCCAACAACAATGTTGACATCGGTTGCTGCAACGACAGTGACATCCACAGCGGCGACATCTCTGCCTTCTTCGAGTGCAGCTACTTCCACGCCGGCGCCGATCACCAAGTCAGTCATATCAACAGTGACTGATGCCTCTCCGTCAGTTTCTACAACAAAAACAGAAACTACGACCGTCCCTGGTAAGGGATTACTGACATCTCTTGAAAGTTACATAAACTAATCCTCTCTTTTTTGTAACCAATAGCAATCAAACCATCCATTTTGATATCCATCTTGAACAACTTTTTGGATATTCCGGAAACAACGCTTTTTGCCGGGGATCATGCTAATGTCACCCTAACGGTCATTGAGGGAAAAGCTGTCTTGGGTGCTGAAACTTCTACGGAGGTTCTTTCAAGATGGGCTGTGGGACTAATCAGCGGCCTGAGTTTGACGGTTTTTGGGCTGGCGTTTGGGTGGCTGGCCCATTGTTTGAGGAAGAAGGTACTTCCTAATTTTTTCTTAGCACCTCTTTTTGTTGTTAAAACACGCTCTTTGCATGTTACTTTTCTTTTCATAACTCTGCCAATAACGAACAGTATTGTCCTAAACCGCGACAAAATGAAACTAAGATTGAAATTGAAGAAATCGAGATGGCTGATTTAACTCATAAACCTTTTGTGCATGAGTCCACGGTAAATGAAATTCAAGATGGTTTTACAACCATAAGGTTGCGTATACCACGCATGACGACCTTTAAACCAAGTAAGACTTAGCTTGTTGACACTTTGTGGTGTTGCATGATTGCATGGCTTCCTTGGGTGTTTCCTTTTGTCTTTTGTTCTCAGCCTTGGTTGCAGCCATTCCTGAGGTTGGTGGAGGAGGCCAGGAGGGTGCTGACGCTGCTGGTGACACCTGTATCGTCCCCTTTACCAGCGCCATCATTGGCTGAAGTGGTTATGGATCTCCTGTCCTTGGATCTCACTCCTTTGGCTCTTCCACTTCCCATTCCAGCTGTGGTTCGTGATACAGAAGAGGCTCAAGACTTCACGGTTAATGTTAGCTCTGATGACTTTGTTTTGGTCGCAGAAGAGTAGGCATGTAACCATTAGGAGGAATTTAATAAAATGAGCTTTGTACAGAGAGAAATCCTGTTTACTTTTACTCTTTTCAGCTGGTACTCAGGGAAAGACTTCCGGTGGAAGGGTTCATACGGATTCTGGGATACTTCAGTGCGGGTCGGGAAGGGATGGATTCAGTCACCAATTCGACACGCGCCGACATGTCATTTAAATCTATTGCCTCTAAACGTCTTCTTCTCTGCAGAACATACCGTATCCTTGCAAAACAAAAATATACAATTGCAATAAGTATGATAGTTAGTAATATAATTGAAACAATGAGATAAATATAACCGTTATCCCGAAAATGTAGTTGTAATTCACTAATGTCCTCAATAATTGATTTAATTCCTGGGANAATATAACCGTTATCCCGAAAATGTAGTTGTAATTCACTAATGTCCTCAATAATTGATTTAATTCCTGGGACATCAGCCAGGATCTCATTAATTGCATTTATCTCAATGTTTTCCAATCTTGGGGTCATTTCATGAAATGGCCGGTTAATTACGGTATAATGACAATTAGGTCTAAATTGAATAATACCTGAATATGGCAACTCCTAAGTATTTTCAGATGCCTGAGCATTAATTTCAGAACAGTACTGAGTAATACGCCCTTTGTCTGAATCAATAAAAGCAAATTTGTCTGCATCTAATTGTATGACCGTATTTTCCGGTACTTTGGTTTCAATTAAAGGACATTTACTTTTAATGGTTGACTCCAGATCTCTGTTCTGAATTGATTTAACACAATCGTTTGCTTCGTAAACTGGAGGCCTGGGAAATTTAAAAAGTTTGCATAATGCATGGCCGTATTGCGGTAAACATAAGGGTAATTCACTAGCTTGTAAAGCGAACATTTTAGCACCTTGAGTAAGCAAATAAGGTTCTGACAAGTTTACCTTATGCCACTTGGGCGCTCCCATGTACGTATCTTCCGCAATCAGCACACTATGAACTTTGAACAATTCTAGAAGTTCCGGTTGCCTAATTACTGGTACAATTGTCATTATCCTGTAATTACACATCTCATTTGTTCCACACCCATCCATTGCTCCAATAGTCAACGGATGAGATTTTATCAGCGTTAGTAATTCTTGCACAGGTAAGACATAAATAGGTGGCTTGTTTTCAGCCTCTAACACCTTACCTAGTGCGGCATTCACATATTCGTCATAATATAAAAATTTGGGAAATTGGAAATTATGTATCCAATCGATATCTTGTAGTAAGGACAATATTACCTTGTTAGCTTGATCTAATTCCAGGCCCAAACTTAATGTAAGGAACCATGAATTTGTAGAATGGTACTTGGCTTGTTCCACCCTGCTTGCTAAACTGATACTATTTTTAAAAACCTTGTTCGTAATTACTTGATATTTTAAAGAAGTTAATAACTGTACCCTTTTCTCTTGTGCAACTGTTCCTTTGATCTCTTCTTTCCTTCGCTGCAGTATGGGAAACATTCCCGTAAACGTCGCATCTCTAGGGAAATTTCTAGGTTCAGTTTGAATTCGATGCTTCAGATTCTTGATTCTGTTGTCTAAGTCTGTATTCTTGGCTTTTAGCAAACTAAACAAAGCACTGTCTATTGTTTTGCCGGGTGGAATATTAGTCTCGACATGATTAAAGATTTTAGTGGTAATCATGTCAGATTGCTTAACCAATTCTCCTACATCTACAGAGGATTCTAACGTCCAATAACTATTTGGTACACATATTGGATACATTTCTTCCAAAGCAACGCCAACGCTACCGGGAAAGTTGCATATGGGGGATGTTTTATCAAACCTATTTAGGTTTGATGACGTACCTTTGTCGTTGATAGGGATTTCCTTAATTGTGAGGGAAAAAGACACATCCATGATACATATACAAATGTATATTTCCACAATTTTTCCATACACTTCCATAATTTGTGTTTACAATTTAGAACGAATGTTAACCCTTTGACGGCGGACTGCGTACTGGCCACTGCAGGGTTTTTTCATTCTTTTGGTGACTCAGTCTTTTTCCTGGCCCGCTTGGCCTTGAGCAGTTCAGCCATGCGTGCTTGCTGCCTTGTCAGCGGTCATTGCCACGAGGTTTTCATTTCTTTCTTTGGCCTCGTTCTGGTTGGCAACACATTGTCCGAGTCCAAATGACGTAGCAAGGGGCAATCCATCGGATTTAAATCTAATTTTCTTTTTCCTTTGTCGTCCCTCTCTTTCTCTGTTTTGTCATCATCCTCTGCTGCTTCACCTTCCTCTTCTTTGTCTCTAGACTGCGTGGACAACATTCTATCCTTTTTCTTGCTGTCTCTCTTTTCCTTGAATTTTTTCCACTTCTCTTTGTTTCGTACCTGCCTCGGAGTTAACGCAACTGCTCCTTCTGCTTCTCTTTGCAGCATTCTTTCAGGTGTTCTTTCAGGTGTTCCTCCACCTCTTCCTGCTGTCAGTTGCTTCATCAATTTGGGTGTGCTAGAGGCAGGTGGTGGTCTTTTCTGAAGGACAGTTTCGGATAGACTTGGTACAGTATCCGTAGTGGTATCAAAAAATCTCCCGATTTCGTCAGTGACTTCCCCAAATATTTCTTTAGTCTTTTGAAATAACCCTGTCTTTCTTTCTGGTGACGCTGGTATTACTGTTGCGTCTAAATCTGGCACTGATATGAAAGAATCTTCTTGTTCGGACTGCAAAGCCGATGAATCCTGCTTTTCTCTGGATTCTTTCTGCCTTTTCAAAATAGATTTAACAGCCTGTTTGTCTACTGGATGTTTATGGATTTTGGAACCCAGCGTTTTTCTTTGCTGTTCTTCTCCAGTAGTTGTTGTGGCTACAGCAGTTTCTTCTTCTTTGTCCGTTTCCCACTGTTTGTCTTCAATACTCTGAGGGCCTTCCCATTTCCATTTTGGGGCCTTGTCATTTTGGTCATTGTCCAGTACTTCGAGTATATCCTTTTCTTCCGAAGGTGTTGGCAAGGGAACTGGTGAGGACCGTCGTATCTTATACGGTCGTACGTAACTGATGTGGATTACGTCTGTCCAGTCTGGGTTTTCGTCATCCTGTACCCTGATTACTACAGGGTTGATTCTAT